CTTACTCTTGTTTAATAGCATATATAAAGCATTCAGAAGAGTATACAGTGCATAGTAAATGCTCAACAAGTCCTTATCAAAGAAATAAAAGAGTATCTATTGGGAAAAGATTAGTGCATCTACTTACACTATACTGAGTTAATGAATACATTATACATACAGATGGTTTCCATTCTTCCTTATAGGCAACTATCTATGGTGGATGTTAAACAATAAGGCAAAGAATGAACTGTTCAGATAAATAGAACTTTATGGAAAGTGGTATGTAGGGTCGTGGTTGCCCCAAAGTTACAATAATGTAGTGAACCGGAATATATCACAACCAGTATATATCCCAATTCTTTCTGCCATTGGTTCTAAGTATGTGGGCTCTGTTTGCTTAACTTCCTGAGGAAAAAGAAAGCTGTCACTTTGCTGGTTATTTGCAAAACTGCTTACCCCAGGGGCTTTTGTGGGAAAAAGATTGTTTACAAAACTGAAAAACAGAAGTCATTTCAGTATATAAGAGCACTTTCTATTCTTGTAGGAGAGAGTCATGCTGCCAATGACTTACATTAGCTGTTTTATTTTCATCTCTACTGAAGGGCATTCATATCTCTCTTCCTCTGTACAAACATAGGGGATCCAAAACTATTCTCTGTGATCATTTGGATTGTTAATCTCTCCAGGGTTTCTTCAACATTCTCAAGGCAGTTTCTGGCACCAAAGGGAAAATGGAGAAGTTGAGATGCAATTTTATTTCCCAATTGAACTTGATTAAATGGAGACTGTTCTAATCAAAAGTTTGAATCCTAGGGGAGTGCGATGTTGGTAACAGGTTTGAGAATATTGCAGAAGAACAGGCAGGAAGGATACTAAAGTCAAGGCAGAGAAAGAACCAGGCAAGAAAATAATTGTAGTAAAGCTTATTAAGGCATAAAATTAGGTGAACAAATTGTTTCACAGATAGTGTTAAGCTCATTGCTAGACTGGCAAAGGAAGTGGAAGAAAGCTCTTTGAAAACATTATTTTTATTATTTTAATAATTTGTGTAGGAATCATAGTAGCTGCAATCTGTTAGGGAGAAACAATTGCCAGCTGGTGTCATCGTGGAGTAACTATTGTAGGCTGAATGCAAGTATGTTTTGCGTTTTTACCTAGAGAGCATTCAATTTTAGAAAGTTTCTATTCATTTTTGCCTGAATGTGAGGTCTGCCCTTATAGATAAGGAAGCCTGTTTATTGTGTGATTTACGAGCTTTGATTAGGTTCACACCAAGTTCCACAACTGTAATAGGGAGACCACACCTGGGACAGACTGTATTTACACGACCAAAGTTATCTATTATTAAAAAATGAATTTTTGAGTACATGCCTGAATTGTCTGTGTAATTGCCTTCATTCTATGCATTGTTTTCCTTGTGGTTACCTCAAGGAAATGGTGTCACTTCAATAGCTATTTTACTGAAAACAAAACGAGATTTTCGGGAATAATGTTCTTTGGAAAGTGTTAAAGGTACACTTATTTATGGAAATACACATTTTTCTTAGCAATATAGCTGCTGTATGTTTGTTGTACATTTTATTTTTACAATTCTCCTAAGTGATTTATTTTAACAATTATACAATCATTTTATGATTGTTATTGTTATTTTTCCCTCTTTCTTGAAACTAATAGACTAAGTGACAAAATACTGCAGGATGTAGAATTGCTCAGCTTTGCCTATAAAGTCAGGAGGAGAGGGAACATAATTTAATAATTCTATTGCAATTCTGTTGTCTCTTCCTGCCTCTTGACTCAAATGGTCTCAAGAGGGGACAGAGGAAATTATGGGCTCTGTTGTTGATGTTTGTTGAACTTCTTCAGTGAATGTATTTTAGGGATGTTAGTGGTTTCTAATTTGGCTTTGCTTTCACCTAGCTTTCCTTGCTTCAGTTTCCTCATCTCTGAAATGGGATATTATACTTCTCTTATTTCCTTATAGTGTTGTTCTGAGAAGCAAATGAAATAATGGCTAGGGGAGTGCTTTCCACTATACAAATTACCACTAGTATTATGGTTATCCATTTTGGTAGCTAATAAGGTGATATTTATCCATGTGATGTCAAGCAGTTTTATAGGAAATGAGAAGCTTCTTCGATAAGGTGATATAAAAAGGTATAATGATGTTTTACTTAGCTAGAGCAGAGGTATGTGTATATTAACCAGACACATTCAGAAAATAATTGTTGGGTTTTATTGCTGTTTGTTTTATCACAATTTCTTGCTGTGGAGTGAGGTGTGATGCCATTAATAGGATTTCAAACTTAGGTGAGAGAAAAAGAAAATATAATCAAAAAAGCTTTAAAGAAGCTGATTCATCTCACCCAACACCTTTTCTGCTAATATAAGCTCCCACATATTAGGAAAGGCACGGATTGGAGTTGTTTATAGAGTTGAAAACAGGAAAGAAAGCAGAGTAGGGAAGTTTTGTTGAGAAGAATTCCACCTGTCTAAACAATGAAAATAGTATCCTATGGGCAAGCTTTAGCTTCCTTGAAAGAGCTCTGGATATTCACTGATGGCTGCAGAGGGGACACCCTGATAAATAGATGACATCGGCAGAGTGTCTCGGGAAGAAACAAGTGCATGGTTTCACAAAGAGGCCAGAGGGGAAGGTGGGCTGCTATGAAATATTATAGCACATCTGTGGAATACCAGGTGGAGCAGACTGCAGCTGGTAGAGTAGCTGGGAGGGACACATTGGCCTGGGCCAGGGAATCACACTGCATCCTCCTCACCTTTAACACATTGCTACTGTCCACTCGGAAAATAGGTTGAGCAGGTCTAGGAAATGTGGTAGGGCAATTACAACAATTTGATGGTATATCTTTTCCCTATCTGAAAAACAGAAGTTGTTACCGAGCAAAGATTTAGTTCTGGGGTAACACTAAATGCAGTATCTAGATGTTTGAAAAATAAAGTTTCCAAAAACATCTGTATACAAATGAGGACTTATGAAATATAGGCAAGCATAAGTCTTATCTCCCACCATTGTTGGGAAGGAATAAATCTTGAACATTTAGGAGTTCAACGTCTATTAGTAGAATGATTTTTTTTAGGAGGTGATCCCTAAACTTTTTATGTTCTAAGTACTGCATGGTTGAGGGCTGGACTGTCTAGTGCTGAAAGAAAGTGTGTGTTGAATATAGAGCCTGATACACAGTAGGTGCTTAATGGTTAATTGATGCTGGTTGAATACAGTTGTATAGTTGGACGCACCAAGTTTGTTGTTTAGGGAGCATAAGCATAAAACTCGAGCACCAGTTAGAATGTCTTGGGTAGAAATTCACAGCAGTCTGGAGCCACGTTCCCCTGCCGAGAAGGGAGCTGCCAACCCGTGTGAAGTCTGGTCTAGGTGAGTCTTCCCGGGAGTGTGCAGGTGTTATTCCTGCAAATAAGGCCGGCCACTACCAGACGGAGAAGCTGCCCATTTTAAGGTCTCAGATCCGCGCCAGCGACGCTTACCTCGGGGCCTCTTCTCGCCCCACCTTTGCCTTTCTGCCAAATCTCTCCTCGCTCCAGGCCGAAGGGATTCCCACCCCCAGCTGCCTCATCCGAGCCCCGCGGAGCGGCGGACTCCTCCCCTGGAAACTCCTCCGGGGCTGGGGAAGGCTTTGGCGCATGCTCCGTACCTAGGGCAGGTTTTTGCTGCGGGTAGCAGGG